GACAGTAGCAAGAATCATGGCCAACTACTACTGCAAATATAGCCACCAGATTCAGTCAGTTTGTACTGCAGTGTATGGCCAATTCCAATAGTCCAATGCACCTTTTTCTTTTTCTTCTGAATGTGACAATGGTGAAACATTCCAATTTGTTCTTGTCCCAGTGGACAATTAAAAGTCTCGGTGTTCAAAACCTCGCAATCGTTTAACAGACGATTTAAGCACTGAGTTATGATGAACGGGTGTGTGCTCTAACTACCACATCCATTGCTTGGCCTTCATCTGAAAGAGCATATCAACGAAACCATACAAAAATTCGATATATAATAGATTCGCCCTCAACCACTCGAATTATTACCCTGAACTGGGTTCATGGACAGGAACAAGAATCATGGCCCAACTGCAGAAACAACCACCAGATTTCAGTCAGATTTGTACTCTGCACTGCATTGCCAACTGCAGAAATTACTCTGGATGTATGCATAGATCAGTACAATCTGCAGACAAAACTTGTCGATACACATTATCTAGTAAGATCGATCGATCTATCGATGAACAAGTGAGATAAAACCGAAAATTGCTTTCAGTTCTTTAACGTTTGCTGCCCCCCACCTTCCCTTTTATCAGCAAAGCATGGCTCTACTAATGGCTTTGTACTCCTTGTCCCTTCCTCTGCTTTTGCTGTATGTGCAATGGACCATATTCATGTTTTCCTCCCCACACTTTCACTTTGAATGTGACAGTGAAGGGTTTCTTTGTCTTCCCTGTCCAAATCCATTCCCCCCATCCACCCTCTGAGGTTAGGCTTCCATGTGATTGGGATCCATGCCATAATATATTTGTCTTGTGGGCAGATCTTTGGTTTAGATTACATTCCACGGCGTGTACTTTAGGTAAGCAAATTGGGAAGGTTGGTTGTACATGGAGATTATGGATTATTTAGTTGCTAAGAGCAGATTCATGGGTTTGTAATCATTAGATAGATGTGCATAACATGAAAGTACAAGGAAAGGAGTGTTGAGTATGTAAATATGTTACAGAGTAATGTTGGGGTTTGACAAAGATACTAGCGATTTGAGAAGGGAATTAGGGAAACATTGATAGAAAATCGGAGGAAGATTGGAGCAGAATCCAGGTTTAGGGTGAGTAGAACTGAGAGGAATAGCGTATGTGATTAACTTGAATTTCTTTTTTATTCTTTAGAGAATCATATAATAATACAGTACATAAAGAGTGTTTTGGCAATCATATGATATGAAAGTTTAAGGGTAATGTTTATTTTTTATCCAAAATCTTTTCAGATTCTTTTATATTATCCAAACCTAATAAAATTCTATTAATTAGCCAAATCTTTCATAGTGCATCAAACTATTAGCCTTTTTTACGTTATCGTTAATATTTTTCTGAAGGCCTGCCGATTGTGTGTTGCACCCCACCGGACCGCCCTGCCCGCCCACCCCAAACCTTTTCTACTTAATTACAAATATGTGTCGCCGCCGATGGCATACGAAAAGGAGAAAAAAATCTCGGGGAAAGAGCCCATTGACTATGATGAACCTTCTCTTCAGTGGCCATGGTCAAATATGTGAGAGTTCTACTGGTCATTATCGCATATAACGAGTTGATATCATAGTTTTGATGAAGCTATCAAAGACTTTGTCTTTGTAACAAAAATGACCAAAAAATCTCAAAAAGCAAACCACTTAATCCAGACCACAAATTGCCTAAAACAGACCAAAAATCCCAAAAAGCAAACCACAAATATTTTTATATAAACACCAGAAACTTTCTAAGGCATACCATAAACACGGTAAAACAAACCACAAAAAGCACACTAGAAACCTCCCAATACATACCACAAATCACCTAAAACAAACCAGAATGGAGCATATCGACTTTAGCGGGCTCGAGTAGGCTGTACTCGATAGCTCGTCTGTGTTGTCCTTTGTTTTCATTTAGGGTGCAAACTGGTGTTTGGTTGGTTTGTTTCTTTTCCTTTGAATGATGTACTATTGGGCTGAAAAATGGACCTAACGTATTGTGGTTGAGTTCTTGTGTTCCCTTTAATTGTGCCTTTGCACAGACTGGTCCCATTTCCAGTCCTCTTCACTCCTAGTGGTCCGCCTTCCAGTCCCACTGCAGTCTGATCATACCGGTAACATCGTTCCCCTTATACTTCCCTCTTCTCCATTGAGGGCAATGTCGAACTTAAGTGTGAGGGGATGTTTCTATTTTGACTGCTTAGATCGGTTTGTGTGCTTGGAGCCTAGTCCACTGTCCAAAATTTTAAATTTGAGGGCTCCAAGTATGTGTTCCTTGCAATTGCCTGCTCAGTATGCTGAGTATTGACAGTCTTTATAGTAATATGCAACCTAGGGAGGTAGTGTAGCACTATGGAGGATGTTAAAGTATAAGATTTTTCCTATCTATCTCTCTGTTGTGCCGGTTGATTTGTGAACTAGTGGCTTTAAGACCGTTGAATTCATGTGGTATTGGTGACTCCTTTCAAACTGTGTTATGGACTCGTGTATCGAAACAGGGTGCTCATGTGTGAAATGAAAAGCAGTTGGTCTTCCATGTTGGAATAATTGAAATCTTAAAATTGAGGTAAGCCCAACGTGTGTGGCACCGTTCACGGCACAAAATCGGGTTTTGGAAGAGATTTAGTGATCCTTAGTTGGGTACTCCTATAAGGTGAAGCTAAGTTGTCTCTAGTACAAGTAAAATTTTCACCCGTTGAACAGTTTGCCTACTCGCCTAGTCAATATTACTAACAAAATTGCTAACTGGAAGTTAACATTTGGTTAATTCTTAGTATTTCGATAGGTTTGGATAATATAAAAGAATCTGAAAAAATGTTTGGATAAAAAATAGACATTTTACCCAAAGTTTAATATCAAAGACATGTATGGAACATTAAGAGAAAACGAGCAATCATATCAGATATAATCATATTTAAGGTGTCCACTAAATGTGATTATAATTTTGTTTCTTAATTATAATTACTCATAAGGATTTGAAATCGAGTTAATATACAAAAATAAGACGAGACGAGAACGTATACTTTCATTTTCGCTTCTCAACACATATAGTTGCACTACCTATCGATCTTATTTTATCAAAACTTGTAACCGTTGATTATCTCATTTCCTTAATCCGCATAACGAATGACCTACATAAATATGACAATGAAACCGATTACACATTAAAACAAAAAACACAATGCCATAATCAAACAACAAAGCAAAACTACAACAAGCTTGCTAGCTGAATCCTAATCAAGTTGACAGAAACTTCAGCAGTTTTGTAGATTAAAATGTGGACTGGACACCAATGAATGCGGTGTACGTAATTAAGCATATCTCCCCTTCCTAAAACTAAAACTAGTTTCCAGCATTAATGCTCTCAACTCTCAAGACACAACTCTGATCAATATATAATTAAGGCACACATTACTGATTAATCTTCAATTCCAAACCACGTTAAGTGCAACTAGGCTATAAACCCATTTTTGTGTTTCAATTAACTATTCTCCAATTGGCCATTAGCCAGCCCCAATTACCACCCGTACAGTACCGCGCGCGCACACTGTTTTATTCCCATCCAAAAGTATTTGACCAGAATGCGATTTTAGAATTAGAGAAACAGAGGCTTTGTTGGCTTACTGTCAGCAACAACGTGGGAGCTTTGTCGTCGATTTGTCTCCTCCGTGTAAAATTACTGCCTGCAGACTGCAGAGCTTCTAAGCCCTAACCAATTGCCGCGCATCTCTCTGTTGGTGTTGCGCATCTAACAACATTACAGCCTAGCTAATCCACCTTCCCCAAACGTAAACACCACCCTGTAATCTGTAAACCACAACGTGCCACTCTTAAACTAATCCCACTAAATTAAATATCTATCATCTAAGATGCTCTCATATCATTGTAGCACAACGGCATCGCAGAAGCTTACCTCAAGTCATGTGTACTTCCTTAAATTTTAACAATTTTTGGAAGGTTGAATCTTTTAGATTATTGTCGAGACAGGTCGATCATTTTACAGTACAAACTCGGTATTGTATCGGACAAACATAGTGTGTGTGTGACTATGCTTCATGTCAAACTGGTCCATCGGTACCTTAGTTGAACATAGAGTTAACGTTAATCCACCAAAAAGGCTTTAATGAGGTGTCTGCCTGGGCATTTAGCGGTAAACTGGGTGGACAGGCCGATGAAGTGGGGCAGTATTTTAAGGCCTGGAGAAATGATTATCTCTCTCCATTTTGTCCTCTAAAGTCGAGAGCCCACTGGCCACCATCACTGACTTTCGCACTCCTTTGCTTCTGCTACGTCATGCTTCGTTCAAAACGAGATCCGATTACCCTTGACCTCTGCAAATCACCATTGACCGCGACGTCTGTGGTGAAACTCATATTTACCCCCCACCGACTTCAGCTCTGCAAATATCATCTACCTTCGAGTCTACACCTTAGCGTTGTCACAACTTGAAATTTTCTCGTTTTGCTCTAGCCTTTACGTCGAGCGCTTTTTTCAACCCAACTTGAAATCAATCTGAAAATCATCGTGCCCCGTGCCTATACATTTCGTCATACCGACGTCAACTGGATATTGTACTAATCTTGTAATAAATTGGTGTGAACAAAATCTACTCAAAACTCAATAATATGCCACAAATAATAGACCTCAAGCAATTAACTTAACAGTCAAAATCTGATCCACAATTTCATGTGTTTATTCACCTAGTGTGTTGTGTTGTGACACAAATGATGAATTGTTTTTTTCAATTTGTTGAACCCAATCCTAGTTGGTATTATTCACTCAATTATTTAAACTTCACCCACTTGGACCTTCCTTGTCACCTCTTGTCTTCCCCCCTATATATCATCACACCAGAAAACCCACAAAGTCAATCCACTCACCATCTCAATTCTCAACCATCACCACACTCTCTCCAACAGCTAAAAAAAAAAGAGGCTCTCATCTCCAAACAAAAAAAAAACCATGGCTTGTAACTGGTCCGCCGAGAACGCCACCAACGCCTTCCTGAAAACCCTGAAAATGGTCAAAGAGCAGGGTCAACGATCCAGCAAGGAGCCCGAATCGGCCGAGTTCATCTCGGCACTCGCCGCCGGGAACAACTCCCAGCTCATCGTCGTCGCCTCCGCCACACCCACCGCGACGACGTCGTTCATGCTCTCCGCCCTGGTGACGGCGGCCCACCAGACCGGCGGCCGGGTGGTCTGCATCCACCGGACCCAACACGAGACCGAGCTGTCGAGGCGGGCCCTGGGTTCACGGTCACGAAAAGTGGGCTTCGTGACGGGGGAGGCCCATGAGCTGCTGTCGTCGTCGGCCCAGTACAGCGGCGCGGACTTTGTCCTCATCGACTGCCACCTGGACAATCACGAGGGGATCCTTGGAGCGGTCCAGCAGCAGGCCGGGAGCAATCAGAACGGCGCCGTTGTGGTCGGGTACAATGCGTTTGGGAGCGGGTCGTGGGGATCCGACGGGCGGTGGAGGACCCAGTTGCTGCCCATCGGAGAAGGGCTGCTGGTGACCCGGATGGCGCCGCCGGCGAGGAATAAGAGCCGGTGGGTGGTGAAGGTGGATAAATGTACCGGGGAAGAGCACGTGTTTAGGATCCGATCCCCACAGGGGAAGATTGAAGCGTAATCTGGTGGTATTATTAATTAGCCAGCCAGTTAATTGCTCGACTAAGTTTTGTTTTGTCAATGTAAGATGTAAATACTAAATTATTATTAAGTATTATTCGTTAGTCCATGTGGAAAATGGAATCTTGGAGAGAAAATGTTTGCAAGATTTAAATCATTTTCCCGTCCATGTACAAACTACAAAGCACTAGCTACTAGGGGGACCATTATTATTGATGGGCGGTTTTCATCACCTAAATCGATCCGATCGTACACAATTAAATATGTATCTGTCACTAGGGCTACAAACGAGCCGAGTCGAGTCGAGTTTTTGCTTAGCTTGAGCTCGGCTCGTTTATTAATTTTTCAGCTCGAGCTCGGCTCGAACTCGAATTTTGATAATCCAGCTCCAGCTCGAGCTCGTCTTGAATAAAAATAATCTAGCTCGAGCTCGACTCGGTAGAGCTCGATAAATGCTCATTAACATAGCTTGTCAAGATGAGTACAAGCTCGACTCAAGATGAGCTCGATTTAAAATCATTTTTGCTGGAAAAATGTATAAACATAAGAATTTAAATGATAGAAAGAACACTACAAACTATAAATAACATCTAGATTTCATACGCATCTGTATTAGAAGACAATGTTCATGTTTAAAAGAGTAATTCATCCTTCCACAAGCTCAAAACAAGGCAGCTCGCGAGCTTAGCTCGACAAGCCACCGAATCAAGCTAGCTCGCGAGCTTATCAAGCTGAGCATGGTCTAGCTCAGGCTTGGCTCGTTAACTAACGAGTTGGCTCGCGAGCGGCTTGTTAAATAATGAGTCGAGTGTCGAACGAGTTTTTTCCGATTCGAATGCCGAGTTGCTCGCGAGCGGCTTGGCTCATTTGCAGCCCTATCTGTCACTCACCATATGAAGTGAACGGGTTGGATGAATTTTGAAAATAATCAGATGGGTTTTGAACGGGTTGATTTTATACATACAACTATAATTTTTATAATTTAACATCAACCACAAGAAATGAACGGGTTGGATGAGTTTGGAAAAATAATTAGATGGGTTTTGAACGGGTTGATTTTATACATACAACTATAATTTTTTTATATTTTAACATCAATTAGGACATCAAAGAATTCCATGATTATGAACTATGGATACATGTGATTATTTTTATATTGAATTAATCAAGGAAACAAGACAAAAATTTGGTTGTAGTCGCATAACTTCATAATTATAACATTAAAATCACACTTCAGATTATGAAAATTCTCACAAATGACTCTTGGTATATTGGTAATACATGTTATATAATTTTTGCGTTTCCCCTCAAATTTGATGGTTAATGGTTATTACCAAAAAAAAAAAAATTTGATGGTTAATGGTGTGTGGTTAGAGGATACAATACTGGTCGGTGAAAGGAAAAATAAATTGCTATTTGTCATAATATTATTTATTTTTATCCATGAGTATTATTAAAGTCTAAGCTGTGCCAGTGCCATTGTCATCTAATTTTGGTGACCTGCAAATACCTTCTCAACACGTGGTTACAGTAGTGGAGGGAGGTGGAAGATACTCTTACCGGATACACATATCATAATGTCGATTAAGTGGGGGTTCTAAACAAAAAAGGAGTCCAGAATCCCTTTTATCAATAATCAGGTAGCCATTTCGTAAGAAAACTGTTTGAACCTAACTGAGTGTAGGTGTGAGGTTCGAGTGAGAGTTGGGGTCAAGAAGAAGTGCAAGCAATGGGTTTAATCGAAGGTCGGAAACTAGAGAATTGAGTGAGAACCAGAGAAGAGATTTTAGAGAGATAAGTTATTATTGTAGAGAGAGAGTGGTGAAAAATGCGATCTCCCTCACCCACCGGAGTAAATGCCATATTTATAGGCTACACGGTGGTGGGTGAGTGGGTGGATTACATGGTGGCATTTTGACCTTGACATGACCTTGACATGACCACTGACACGTCGGGGATTTAGGCCATGCCTCTACCTAGGACGTGTCAGAGGTGTACCTACGACCATCTCCCAGATCCCAACGCGGCCGCCCCTCGGGGATTGTGGGCGAGACTCCTCTTAGCCCTGTGGTTTAGTACTCGCTGGGCACTCTCAGTATGCGCGTGGCTTGTGACGCGCCCGGCTCTCCGCGCCTTGGCGTTTCCCGCTCGCGCATCTTTGTGAGGGGTTCAGGGTCTTCGCGCGTTGGTTCTTTCCGTCCGCGCGCATCCTCTAATATCTACCACGTTGTGCCGCGCCTCGTTCCTTCGTGCGCGTCTTAGGTCGGCGCGCCTTACTTTGCGTGGTTAGGTCCGAGTCACATGCCCAACAATTGCCCCCCATCAGAGGGTGTTCTGCGAGCGCCCTCTGTTTAGGTCTTCGCTTGGTTGACTCGGACCTGGGCGCGTTTCCCGGGGTTTCCTGCGTGCGCCTTGACGTTCCGTAGCCGTGCGAGAGGTTCTGTTGTAGTTGCCTGCTTGAGCGAGATATTCGGAGTCGGGACTTCGAATCGCGCGCACGATTTGGGATTTTTCTCTTTCCCAGATTCGTGCGCGCGATCTTGGTGAGATTTTTCTTTTTCCCTGAATCGTGCGTGCGATCTTTGTGAGATTTTCTTTTTCCTCGCGGGTGTGCTATGCCCCCCAGGCGCCGTGCGGAACTTGTCCCGTCGGCGGCTAGTACCTACTTCGAATAGGTGTCCACGTGTCCTTACCTGGTTTGTCCATTTGGGCGGGCGAATTTTGAAATTCGAAACGTCTGACGGTTGCGATCTTCGAGGTTACTTTAACCTTTCGACTTACCCCTAATAACTATAAGTATCACCACGTTGTTGGGGGTGGGATTCATTCTGCCTCATTCTTCCATCCGAGTCCTGCTCTTTCCTTCTCGTGCTCTGGTTTTTCGCCGAGATTCTTCTCCTTCTTTTACAATCTTAAATCTTCACTCGTTGTTCTTCTCTGTTGCTTATTGCTATCATGGACAACACCAACACCAACGTCGGCGAGGTTGAGATCGTACAAGACGAAGAAGGTAATGTTTCCCCCCTTTCCCGTATTTCTTCTGATCCGTCGCTGGAATTGGCGAATTCCGGCGGCGAATATGGCGGCGAATATGGCGGCGGGTCTGGTGACGGCGGAGCTCCGTCCACGCCGTCGGCCGGAGTCGACTCGGATCCTGACTTCGTCCTCGGAGAGACAGAGGCGGATGAAGATGCAGTAGTCCACGGGGGCGAGGGACCGAGCACGCAGCCTCGAGGCGTCCTGATAATCCGGCGCGACCGCGATGGGGGGTCCGGGGTCGCGGAGGGTGTTAGTACTGCGGACGCGGACGAGCGCGAGGATTCTGACACTCAGTCAGCGCCGGTGATTGCAGAGCCTGTCAACTTGGTACGTATAACCGAGGGGATGAGCCGTCTCGGCCCTCGTTACGTGGACGCGGCCTACACCGTCCTTGACTGGGCGGAGATGTGGGGCGATCAACCGGCTCCGCACGACAACTTGCTGGGGGGACCCGATCACGGCTCAATTTACTCGCGCGAGGACGTAGAGGACATCGTGCGCGGGCTGGGTTTGCCTCCGCACTGGGAGTACGCGGTGCCCTCAGTTCGGAGTACAGTGGGTAATTGCCCCCCAGGGTGGTTTGGGGTGTACAGCGAGTACTGGGTGATGGGCTTCAAGTTTCCCATCGACCCATTGTTGTGCGCCTTATACAGGCGGCTCAACTGCTCGGTTGGGCGCCTCTCTCTATCCATCGTGATGCATGCTTCCTGCTTGCGCCTCGCTTGTAAGCGGCTTAACATCCAGCCCACGTATGGGCTGTTCCGCAAGTTTTACAAGATCAAGGAGCCGAGCAAGACGAGTGACTGTTTGTCCATAAAGCGGCGCGACAACAGGCCTGATGGGTTCGTGTATGGCTCCCCCAAACTGAAGAAGACGTGGTTTGAGCGCTTCTTCTACGTTAGGCCGGTTCCGGGGGAGTGGGCGAGCGAGCACGTGGATGAGCCCACTGTGTGGAAGAAGGGTAGTACCCTGAAGTTTGAGTCCCACGTCGGCGCGTATGATGGGCTTGAAAAAGAGTATCAAGCGTGTTTGAATCAGAAGATGAATCTCTACACGCGCGGAGTTCGCGAGGCCATCTTGCAAGAGCTTTTTGCTGATGGTTAGTTATTTTCCTTTCCCTTTGCATTCTGTCATATTTAACCGGTTTCTTACGATATTTTGGTGCAGATGTTGATTTCGCCGACCTCGCGAGCATGATGTCGGTAGATAACGTTGCGAAGGCGCCTCGCGCTTCGCGGAAGGGGAAGAAGAAGCAGAAGGAGGGGGCGCAGAGTAGCAACGCGCCGGCTGCCAGTACAAAGAGGCGGGATCGGGGGCAGCCCACCAGTGCCCCCACGGCTGGCGGGAAGAGGAAGGAGTCGGAGCCAGAGAGGGAGCAGGGTGATGGGAACCCGAAGAAGGCTGCGCGGGTTGCGGAGCCGCAGGGACGAGAGGTTCCAGTGCAGGAGGCACGCGTGCAGGAGGCACGCCAGCAGCCTCTGATCATTGTCGATCCCGAGGCGCGGGTGGGTAACTCCCCCCACCCGGAAAGGCTGGCGACTCCAAGCACTTCTGGAGCCACTGCGCAGCGGAAGATTTCTGATCTGTTAGGCGTTCCGGGTATTGACTATTACCGCGACGTGCGGTTGCACACTAGCGCGGCGTGTAACAGTCAAACGGCGCAGGCAGCTCTGCGGGCGGTTGGCCCTGTGCTCAGCATTCCCCCCCGGTTCGAGAAGTCGGATCCGCTGGTGGATCTGGCTCAAATCCATTGGGCGGTAAGTATATTACGTTTTGGCACACAATTCTCTTTTCTCTTTCTTTTTTTTTTTTTGTTAAGTTGTAAACTGCTGTCTGTGCAGGGTTTGCTGGCGACTTTCCGCGCCCAGCAGGATCGTGCTTCTACCCGCGCAAAACTGAAGACGGATGAGTCTCGGATTGTGCAGCTGGAGGGGAAGCTCGCCGGCGCAGAGAGCCGTGCGG